ATTGGAATGGATATTATTCAATATATATTCATGAAAGATAATTGATATATATAATTGAAGGAATAATAGCATAATAATCTATAGAAATATATATAATATCGAATGCTTGAAAAATAGATTTATAATTTCTATTCTAATAATTATTTTCTAATGAGAAATATTAAATATATCTATATATCTGATATATTATTCTCATATAAGATATTTCTCGTTAAATATATAGAATTGGGCGAAATATGATTATATTTAGGATTGAAATATATAATATAATGCGATAAATATTTTAAAATTTTTTCAATTATCTTATATTATTTCTCGATGTCATATCTTTAGATCTATATGATTTTCGAATATTATAATTGAAATTAGAAAGATTTTCGATATAGAACGAATTTGTCATTTAATATAAAATCTATCGCTGAATTTCTCATAATTCAAATTCGCGTCTTCGACGATATCGTAGTCAATTCTTATCTACGTAATGATGCTACTTATTTAAAAAATATCATATATTATTCCTTCCCTAAGAATAATAAATCCAAAAATTAAATTTATCAAAAAAATAAAATAATCAATAAAATCAAAAAATATTATTCTATTATTTTTCTAGAATAGAATTAGAAATATATTCAAAAAGAAGAATTCTAAAAGAATGTTTTTTTTCTATTTTTCAAATTGGCATTTTTCTAATTTAGAATTTTTAATATTTTTGAATTTAATATATATTAAGAAAATAAGATTATTGTCTACGACTCTTGATAACAGCAATGCCCCTAAGCACGATAATTAATTCTAGTTTCATCAAAAAATGATTTTTTTAAATACGTAAATCGCAAGAGAAGATTTTGTCCACTAAATAGAAAAAAATTAGAATTCCAATAGAATTTTAATTTTCATTTTTATCATAATTCTTAATCTTATTTATACGTGACTTTCTTGAATTAAGATATTTATATTAACTCAATCCTTTAAAATTTAAATTTTAACAAATTCATATATATATATAGCTCATAATTATATCAATTTTCCTAATATCTATATAAAAATAAATATAAATTTCATAAAAAGAATATTCATATTTCATATAAAATCTATATCGATTTATAATTTTTTTGAAAAATCAGACAAATAAAAAAATTAAAAAAATGAAAAAAAACAAATTATTATTATAAATCTTTTTAAAAGTTAATAAATAAGATTTTTAATTCATCTTTCTATATCATATATATATATATCAAAGAAATAAATCAATTTCGAGAAAAAATAATATAGAGATAATAAGATTCATTTTTCTATATTTTCAGATTTTCGAATTTTCAATCCATCCCATACTAAGTCACTAAGTACTGAAAATTCCGACGTGCGTAATCCTGCGCGGCGCAGCATCAAGATCGATCCAAGGGATGATGGCCGCAGGCCATGACTCTACAGGGCTGATCATTGAGCTTGGGCTCATCTTCGCCACCTCCACGGCGCTCCACAGCTACATCGAGCCGCAAGGCAGACGACATGGCTCTCTTCTTAATGCCTGGTGCTGACCTGCTTCACAAATCTTATTGTCAGGGCGGAGAATATCTTCTCGGCGGTCGTGGCCGTGCCGCGAGGACACGAGAAGAAGCTTTATGTATAATGCTTTCCTTTCGTCGCTCTTAATTCCGGAGTCGGCCAACTAGCAAAGATTTCTTCAACTTCTTCACCAACTACTTCCACGGTCTGGCCGACAGATGGCATCCTGCGCGGCACCCCGGGAATGCGAGCTGCGGAAATGTTGCGAGGGACGGGGCTTTGCCGGTGCCTGACCTGAGCTCTGCGAAAAAAGGGGGACTGCTGTCCTCTTGGCACGTCCCGTATCTTTGCTCGGCTCAGAGTCAAGACCCTGAATCTGATGCTACTGAAGCTTTCATAAGACCTCTATCTCCGAATTCTTAATCATACAATTTAAGAAAATCTATATCATGAATAAAATTGATTTTTTATTTCTCATTCTGCAATAAATTTCTATTTCAAAGAATTCAGAAATCAAAATTCCATAATTCAGAATTATCGCGCCCTTCATGCGCTTTGCCCCAATCACATATTTCATGAACTTGCTTCCTTCGTATTATACCAATATAGGATAGCGCCTATATTAGCGATAATATCAATTAGATATCTCTATGACCATCTACTAAATCGAGTGCACTAATTAATGCACCTACCTCTAATAAGAAATTCATATTCAATTTAATATATATATATAGATATAAATAGAATATAGATCTATATCCATTATATCAAAATCTAGAATATTTATAAATAAATTAATATATTTTCAAACTTCCAATATTCTAATTAAATATCTAAGACCCTATTTTTAATTATATTTCTCGAGTCGTCGAGAAATATTTACCAAACGGACCCATAATGCTCCGAACGTCCCCCAAATTTTTTCCTATTATGAAGTTAATTAAATTATTTATATATAAATCTCACTAACCATAACCTTAGAAGATCGTATTCTTCAACTATTATTTTTATTCCCATTCTACTAGAGCCATAGATAATCGATCTAGATCTACGATAAATAAATTACGCAATCATCAATTATATATAACGATCTCAATATTCAAGATCATCATGAAATTTATACTAAAATTCATGAGTAATTTTATTTAAATATGAATTCAAGTTCTCTTCGATATCGTATTATATATATATATAATCTAGAAAAGAGATAATTCAAATTATTTTCAATATCCGTTATGGAGAAGATCTGATGATTTCATTCTCTTATAAGGTCGGTCCTAGATTGAAATAATTTCCATCCATCATCTAAGGTATTATATCTTGGATGCCATAATGTTGTAAATAAGAAATATCTGCCAATCATCTATGTCTTCGCAAGATCTGCGGCTTGGTTTTGGGACGCTGAAAAGGTCAACTACCTCCCAAGGAAAGCAGAACCGATAGTATGCGCGGGGTGTCAACTTGCAGGTCGCAGTCGGTACAACATATGTGGCACTGGGTACCGCAATGTTTGTGCGATGGGCGCCTCCTCCAGAACTTCCAGGCCGGCCTGCCCGAAAAAGTCTCGCCACTTCTCGTCGGAAAGAACTCCGGACATGTAGTCGTCTGGATCTTGTCCGAAAGGTCTGAAGTGCTCCTGCGTTACATGCCAAGCCAGCCGCTGAGCAGAAGGAGTGCCAGCAGAATCTGGCAAATCCTCCAAAACGAGAATCTCACGGCCCACGCGTGCCGCCTCAGCCAGTAGTCCTGTCCGATCCGGCACTGGCACATGATGCAGTACAAATGCCAACACAACCACATCGAACTCGCCATCCGCGAATGGCCAAGGAGCATTGTCCTCGACCACGACAACGTCAACAGAATCCAGCCGTGCACGAGCTCTTTGGGCAAGCTCGGGATTCGACTCCACCAAAGTAATTTGACGCGGCCCGTCTTCAGACAGAACTTGCGGGTCAAACGCCCAGGACATCAACGATCCGTCGCCACAGCCAAAATCCAACAAACGTATCTGCCCGCCATCGTTGCTCTGAAGGTAAGGCCTCAAGGCGTCAAAGTATCGTCTCCTGGACATCTCTGTAAGGCACTCTTGGGCAACAACGACTGGAGTTTTGCGAAGTGTGTCTGCAGAAGCGTCTTGGTTGAGAGTGCAACACACAGCAGACACGTCGCCTGCAGTGTCGGGAAACACCTCGGTCTGCCAGTCCAAATGTGGCAGGGCCAGAAAGGAGAATGGCAAGACTTCGTCTTGGCCGGAGGCGCACGTGAGAAACCAAAACTTCCCGCCGTTGCGGAGCACCTTCGCAATTGAGGCCAAGTTGATGATAAAGTCATTGGATAAACTGAACTCATGTCCGCCAAGAGGATAAAACCGGTTTTGCCGTGCTTCCCATCCAGCTGCTAGGACTTCTTCAGATCGGACCTCGACGATCAAGTCGTAGCTGTCCGGTTCGCACTGCCGCAAACTTCGGAGATCATTCCCCACATTGCCCTTAACACCTCCGATCTCCTCTTTTGGTCCGATGAACAGCAAGTCAGCATCCGGCATGTCCTCTAAAGACCTCTTGACAGATGCGGCGAGGACGGGGTGCAGGGTACCCAGTGCATCCAGATTCGTGCCAGTGCAAGCGAACCGATGCACCGCCGGTCTTGGCTTTGTGCTTCTGCGGCAAAGTACGGTCATCAGAGTGAAGCCGACGCCTGCAGCAGCCCTTTCCAACAATGGCTGCCGCCCAGCCAATGCCAATCTTGTAGGAAGGCTTTTTCCGATGCCTGCGGGACCCTGCGGCGCCAACGGGCTGCAAGTTCCGCAGCCATGAGCTGCCGAGGAAGCTCGTGGGAGAAACATCATCAGTAGGGACAGAGATATGGGCTTGTAAAGGTGTTCTGTGACGGTGATACACGCCAGTTACAGCTGGTTTGGCTTCTGCTCGGAGGCTGTGTACTGCATCCGACCTGCATGTCGCGACAATTGTCAGGACGTTTCGTTGACGGATGCAGTGAACTAAGAGGGAATTGAGGATGTAGCACATCATGCGAGCTCGTTGCGAAGTGAGCTGCAGCAAGAGCTGATGACCGCATTAGCTGAAACGTTGCCAACCATGTTCTGTCTCAAACCCACACCTGCTCAAGAAGCTGTTCATAGACACAATTTCAGCTTAGTGAGAAGCTGGGAGGAAGTTGGCTTGAGCAATACCAGGCCCCTTTGTTGCTAGCGAATCGATGGCAGGTGCCATACGCCGGCTCGTCGGCTTCGACGATGATGACAGCAATGGCTGCTGCCACGACTTCCTGCAACGAGCTGGAGGAAAATGCAGAGAGGGCTCGGGAAAAAGAGAGGGTGCTTTTCACAGTCTCTGCTGTCATCCGTCAAGAACAGATAGAACAGGAAGGGCGAGCCTCCCCTCAAAGCACGTTGGCCAAATTCACAACCTGGCTGGGGATGGACTCATGATACCCCTATAACTCTCTTCAGATCTCCTGCGTTTCTGCTCTTTAGCTCCAAGGGCTCCCGACTCCAGATGCTCTGCAGGTCTACTTGTCTGCTAGCGCCTCGATCGGCAACCGCCGTTTCAGATATCATGGGCAGACTCTGCAAGGCAAACGAGAGCATGGCCCTCGCCAAAAGCACTGCGACCGCACTATCAGCCTTCACAGTCCCAAGACAACCTCGGGCACAGTAAGCAACCGAACCGCAAAGTTCCAGAAAAGTCGGACTTCAGGCAGCCTTGAAAAAAGCACATGTCATGTGCAGCCGGGCCTGATCCCAGCCGCGCTCCAGCAAGTTTATGACTCGCACGCCTCGCTCCTCCCCGGGCAGTGCACTTCAACTAATTAGGGTTATTGGGTGATGTGAGGTGATGCCTGTGAACTCGGAGAGCTGCTCGCACGAAATGATTCGAAGCCACGGGCAGCCTGGAGGGCATTGGCACCCTTGGTATCCAAGATGTCGAGAAGTAAAGCTTCTTTGCCAACATAGTGGCTCCTGGCACCGCGGAGAACACGGGAGCGGCAGGCGAATGGTCTGCTAGCGATTCAGTGGAGATGATCTGCAGATGGGACTGTTCGGATCATCAGCCTTCCCAGTTCCAAAAACTCGGTCTTGACAGCAAAGTCCACACAATCAGAAGCTCCAAGCCAAAACACTCCCTAAAACGCTGGAACGGGTCCAAAAAACGCAACTTAAGAATCACCCCGCTAACCCCCACACAGAATCCCCTTCAGCCCCCAGAGAAGCTTAGATTACAACGATTTCGACATGGCAACCCGAGTCCGGACCGGCCTCTGCTCGGTAGTTCTGAGCAGCGTCACATCCTTGCAATGAACTATCGTTATAATAATGGGCTATAATATAAGAATAGACAATAGTATCTATAATAACAGACTATAATATTTGTAACCGTAGACTATAAGATTATACAGTAAGACACTATGATACACTATATATAACAGACTATAATATACTCTCACAGGCTATAATATAATATAAAAGCTGTAATATACGATAACAGACTAGACTATGGTATAACATACTATAATGGACCATTATACACTATATTTCGACTTTATTATACTGTAATGCACTATAGTATACCGTGATCGACTATCACATATCATATAAGGCCTGTGCCTCAGGTGAATACTCCAAGGGCATGGCTCAACAGAATCTGCTGGACATCTGACCAATGCTGGACCCAAGGCATGACGCCAGTCGCAAAGGCTGGGGCATCGTACTCAACTCCGGCGGATGCAAGCAAGTGCAATGTTGAGTTGAGTGGGTCCTGCATGCACTCGAGTCTGAAGTCCTCAATCCTAATGTGGGCTGAGACTTCCCCTCTCACGTCAGAAGGCTTTGTGGCCGAGCTTGCGGTCCTACAGCAGGCTCAAGGGAGGCAGTCCTTGGCCAGGTCTTCAGGCACCGCGAGGATGCGAATGAAGAAGCTCCTTGCAGTTCCAAGTCTTCGAAGTTCAAAGATGTCCAAACCACGTGCTGCAATTGCAGGTCGAGCATGGTGATCAAGCCCGACAGATACTCTCAACACATGAGCTCTGAAGCTTCGAAACTTCAAGACTTCAAAGACTCCGCAGTTTAGGGTCGCCATGCTATGCGGATGATCAGGGGAATAATCCCGCTGTGCATGATAATTTGCGAGAGCCCGGCAGACCTCAGACCTGCATGATATCTTCAGAACACTGCAGTTCGGAAACTAGTACCCACTGATCTCCTCCGCAGCTGTTGAAGCGCAGATGCGGCTTGTGGCGTCAAGGCGACCTGAGGGATTTCACGTGCCCCTTGAGTGCCAGTCCTCCCAACTCTGTTACAGGAGTGCGGATAGGACGGGAAGATCATGGCTCAAAATGGGTGTGTGCACCTGCCAGCCTGCACTGTTGTGAGTTGCGTTGAGTCTATGACGTATCTCTGCAGTTTGCAGTACCGAGTGTTCACAGTCTCCTGATTGAAAAGCCAGTGAATTCAGGATCTGGACAAGGGGATGTGGTGCCAGGTTTCTTGACATCGTAACGGACCGCAGTTGTGATTGCGGCACTGTATCGAGGCCAACTCACTTTAACCGGGACCTGAACTTCATCACGAAAAGGATTTAGGGTTTAGAAAAGCGTCAGTAGGGTCGATGGTTCCGAGATTGTGTGAACGGATTGCAGGAAGGTCTACTCAGCTCCGGCCACCTCGTCTGCGCCATTCCCATGCCACAGGGCGGGCATGCCTGGTCGAGCTCTTTTCGTCATGCTCGGCAGCTTCTTTCGGGTGGATTCCATTCTTGCCTTGCTGCCGTCAACGACTATGAGTGGAGAGCAGCTACTTACATGGCCCACCGGGCACAGACCATGCAAAGCTTCAATGCTCGTGCCAGAAAAGTCCTTCAGTTTTGGATACTGCTCGGGCGAAAAAGGGGTGGGTGATGGCGAGTCAAGCTTGCTCAGGCGCGTGCCGATGAACAGATGTCGCTTGCTCCGTCGATGCCTGGCTGCGCCAGACGACATGACGCCTCTGAATGAGCTCTTGCAGTCTCTGCGTGCCGTTCTCTAGCCATCTGTCCTTTCTGCTAGAACAAGATTTGAATGATTTCGCAGCGATTGTAGCTAAACTTCACGGCAGTGGCAGTCAATAAGCAGTGCCGAGCTTGCCGATCCACAACCTGACTGGAAAGCACACGCGGCTGTGTGATACGAGTTGAATGGATGGAGACCAAACGCAAGTTTGCTTACCGAGTCATCATATGACAACAGGGACTCTTGTCTTGTGAGTGCAGAAAGCTTGCACCGCGCGAGAGTTGCACATGCAAGGTAGTGGCAGGGCTTCAAAATTTCAGTAGATGATGGCATCTTTCGAACTGAGTTTTCGGAGAGGCATGCAGATTTCACTCGGAGGGCCTTGTACAGAGGACCAACTACCACCCGAATCCAGCATAGTAAGATACATCAACCGTTAGGGGTTTCCGGTTCATTGCTCGAGATTGACATCGACGATGCTTTATGGAGCATGAACCACGATATGCAGAGAGCATACTTCAACAGTGTTGATGATACGGGCTTCTCGAGAGACTGTCAGAAAGATATCCGTGCAGCTGCGTTTCATCGTTTCTGGGGCCAGTGCCAACAAACCACTCCAATCAGTCAAAACCTGGTTCAGTGGACTTGTCGCCGCGCATCCTAGGCCTTGGCTCAATGACTATTGGCCTTCGAAGCCTCGCCTCAAAGCAGACTAGGTTTTTTCCCGGTGGCCGACAAGGCCATAGCTTCAGCCCATTTGCGGCCTGGGACTCTGGGACTGAATCATCTCTTTTCTGACACCATGGTATGTAGCAACTTCAGAGGAAAGGACCGTGCCAAAATGCAATAGGCACTTGCTGCAGCACGAAGAGTCCTCTTTCAGTGCTCGTCGCATGCACATAAACTCTTTGCCGACGCGATTCTCCGAGCCTCTGGCGGATGCCGATGTAGGCATTGCGGAAGCCCTGCAGCTACACAGGAACGAGGACACCAACATGTCCCTGATCATGCCCATAACCGGGCCCTGCTGTATGTAGGCGATCTACAAAGAATGCATCGGAATTTCTCCGGGCCTGCCGCTTAGGTCTACATTGACTGCAGAGCACAGCCTATGCTTGGTCATGTCAGCTCACGCGTCCATAGGGTGCGTCCGCCCGAGAGTGCCGAGAGCACTAGCACCAATGAACTTACTAATGCTCAGGGTGGTTGCTAATCCTGCAATCGGTGTTTCGAGGTTTATCTGTTCTACAGACGATGTGCGGAATTTGCTGGCGGGGCAGGTCCCAAGGACTTCATGGACCAGCCTTCGAGTTACAGTGTCTAGAATTCATTTGCGGATTGTCATGGAGCTCGTTTCCAGGGCCTTCCTTGCTTAGATTCAAGCCTAGGTGGGCCAGCACCGGCCCGAGAGAAAAGCACCCATAAGCCTTTTGTAGCCGTCTCAACGGGGCTGCGGCCTTGGTGTGCTTGAACTCCGCGTAGCCCTCATTCCAGTCCGGCGGGCTGGGCGGGTTGATGTCGCTTGTCGGCGAGACCTGTTGCCGCATTCAGCAGCTCACTGCCTTACCGCTACTGGTCTGTCTAATCAGCGCATCTAGCTTTACAGAGTCTACGGCTGCTTGGCTCTTGGCAGTGCTACCTCAAGTGCTGCAGCACTTTTTCTGCCCAGTTTTACTTAGTCATGAGTACACCCAAAGCAGAAACACAGTCATGCAAGAATCCTTCCCGCGGCAAACCCTTGAGGTCATTGCTGCACTGCACTGAATTAAACAGCCTCCTGAGTTACTGTCCTGATTCACACTGATCACTGACACGCTGAAGCATTGCCCCCATTTCACCCTAAGTCTTGCAAGTTGCTGCCTCCAAGGTAAAGGGCTCCTTGTGAAGGTCGGGATCTTTCTCCTGCCAGATGAGGTCCACTCCTCCGACATGGGCTCTAAGATGTCTGAAGATCCGAGCTGTCGTCTTACAGTGGGCAACAATGGCTCTAATAGCCGGCTTATGTAATCATAACTGGTTCATGGTACTCATCGAACATGGTAGTCGGAGACAGCAGAAAGTCTATTGGCCAAATCAGCTATCGTCTAACTTAAGCGGTATGGTCTCAGGGAGTCCGGTCTCACTTGTACTTATGCCCTGTCGTGACCTAACAAAATACAATTATCAACACCTCTCTTGGAACAACAGAACGCTGCACTATGTCGGCCTATATGCATGCATACATATGTTTTCTAAAGGCGAAGGTGCTGCAGCAACAGGCCGAACACTCGTTATCAACGTGTGGAGGGAGACACAACCGCTTGCAATCATAGCCGACAACATGCATTTTTGAGCAGCGAGATGAAAATTACATTTCAGAGTTCTTTTGTACAGCTGCCTCGGCATGCAAAACCTTTACAGACAACCAACACAGTCATTCAACACATGAGGGCGCCTCCGACTGGGATCCCGGTCTTGTTGGCGAAGCTCGCCACGAACGGTGCCAACTCCGAGAGAGGGAAATTGAAGTCCTTGCGAGCAACGTCGAAACCCTGAGCGTATCAACACTCATCAGCTGCGTAGATTCCGCAGACAAGCTCAAGCTAGAGTCAGTGAGCGAAAAGCCCGAGCGAGAACCCGCGCCATTGGCCCATGCTTCCTCTCTTTGTGCCCACACGGAATGGCCTGGTAGCCGCCTCGCGTGGAAGCTGCTGATGCGCTCTTCAGGCTCTGCCTCGCGCAGCGCCGAAAGCTGAGTAGCCCCTCGAAGACCAAAGCCAAAGCAACATACATGGGTGGTTGTCAAAATTATGGTCCCTTTTTGGGTCCTTATTATAATACGGCACTTATTATTTAGGGTACCCCAAAAGGGACCATGATTTTGACAGCTACCCACATGGCTTAGAGTTTTGTGGGTCCTAGAGCCTGAGCTATCGGAGCTGAAATGTTCCGAGCAGCCGGATGCGCCAGTAGCCATGGAAAGGGCGGCCATCCACGTAGGTGACGCGGGCCTATCCAAGGCAAGTCATGCAGGCCTCACGGGGTGAAGAAGCTAAGCCTGCTAGATTGCTTCCAAGTCGTCTGTTGTACTGAAACACAATATGGGTTCGGATGATGACAACCACCGCCTCGCAGTGAAGGATTCAAAAGAGATGGGCCCGCGTTCTGGGTATGCATGCCTAGGACAACCAACTTTTGAAAACCAGAGTTTGGAGTGCTGTTGCCAATACGAGTCAGTTGTTTGCACATCAATGAATCAACCGACTAGTCCCTCTGAATCTCTGTGCTGGCCTCGCGGAGTGCCTGGACCTTCTTCTGCACCAGGGCCTCTATCCCGGGCTTAGCCTGCCATACTCAGCGCGGGCCGGGCTGTAAAGGCGCTTTGCGCGGTGCTTGTTGCAAGAGAGTTGCTGTGTTGATCTGTTCTGTGCGCATGTGCATGTGTGTGTGTGTGTCTGCGTGCGAGTGCACGGAACTGTTTCAGGCCCTCTTTGAAAACCTTCCACAAAGCTTGAATTGCTGCCATTCCATCGTGCCAGGGTGTGACGTGGTGTGAGTATAAACAAGCGTCTTCGGCCAGAACCCTTCCGGAATCTGCATCTGCACTCACTGCAAGTCTCACAAATCCCCAACAACTAAGGGAAGGGCCTTGGAGAAGAATTCCTTCAAGGCCTGGACAGAAGGGCATCACACGCTGGCTACTGGCTTCGTAGCTTCGCGACTGACTCGTGCACACCGAACATGTCACATACTGGCTCGGCAGAATCGTCTTGGTGGCATTGTGTCTATACCGTCCCAACGCCACTTATTGCATGTTCTTCTCATCGCCGTCTCTCATGCTCCGATCGTCTCTTCGCATCCCCGAGCTCCAAAGCCCCACACTCCCGAAGCCTTCTAGCCTCTGCTAGACTCTGGCCTGCATCAGCTCGGACGGCGTCTCCGCCTGAAGCCTGCGGCAGGAGCAAGAAAGGCAGGACGACATCCAGCCCGGGGAGGAGGATGTACTGCAGGGCTTTGGGGCTTCAGGGGTTTAGTTGGGCTTGCAAGGATCTAGGGTTTGTGTGGGCGCTTCAGGGTTTCGGTGTTTTCAAAAAGAAGTCAATGTTCATGGCTTCGTGGGGCTGTTCTGGCTGCACCGCACCCTCAATCTGCAGTTCGCCACGCAGAGCAAGGAGGTTATGTGCTACGCTTCTATGTTTCAATGATTTGGTGGGGGCCGATATCTGAGTGCCACGCAAGCCAATGCTGGAGTAGCCGTAGGGATCCTGCAAGTATGTAGCGCGCTTTATATCAATCGGCCCGGGTGAGTTGGGAGACGGAGCGCAATGCTGCAAATGCGACCAGGATTGGAGAACAAGCTTAAGCTAAAGGAAGTCTCACCGATTTTCTACTGCAGGGAAGGGCAGGTGACGACTTAGTCTAGAATCTCGACATGCGTAAAGTACCAAGTCTTCAAACTCGAGTCTTCAGCCAGGGAAACTGCCTTGATCACCACCGGCAGCTGCACTTCCTCTTGACGAGCCACTGCGTCCGAGAGGTCGCGGAACACCTGCAGAATAAGAGTGTGACCGGGGTCAGACGACTCGAACAGTTTGGCTCAAGCATCGTCAGGCGATGCCGGACAAACACACTTCCCTGGGCCAGTGATGCAGAAAGTACACGACTTGAAACAAGGCCTTCTCCGAGGAATTAGGCACGCGGACCCCACACTGTTGTCGTTGTGTAGTGTTCTGTTCGATTTGGGATATGCATGCTTTTCTTCCAGACTCTGGGTTCCAAACTGTGTTCGATGTTCCGAAGCAAGAGCCGAAAGTCTAGCTCACGGGGGCCCCATCCTCCGTGCCCATCAAAAGCTCAGATTTCGCATGCTCCGGGCAAAACCGGCAGAACGAAATATAAAACCACCATGCAAAAGAGGATAATGAACCTTGATGGACATGTATTTCCCACCAGTCGACTGATCAAACAATTGTGGATATGAGAAATGCGATGAAGTGAATCCTCACAGAATCACATTCAAACAGTTCTGCATTGGTTCGACTTTGACATGGCTACGTTGCAATCAAGAGCTCTTAGACACCAAGTTAATGCTATTATCTGTTTAAACTTACCATGTCAAGGCTACTGGAACTTGGATTTGTGGACCGCTCGACGTGCTCACGTGCATCGGGCTCTATGTCAGGGCAGTGACAGTGTTGCGCCGAAATCCAAAACCACAACCCCGAAAGTGGATGCGACCGAGACACCCAAGTCAAAGGCATCTGCACATTGGCGTCCTGGAAGAGCTTTGTGAGAGCGACCTGGCCAACGACAGCGGCACGAAAGAGAAAGAAGAGCTTGCTCTGTTGCCGTTCATACCGAATGCCTACCGCTAGTAGTACATAATCATCGCTACTAGCCTCTATCGTCCTTGATAGTATAGCCCACATAGTTACTGCTTAGTGGCGTCATTGATACCAGGTTTGATGCTGGCGATGATGCTGCTGTCGCTGACATCGTTGTCAGAGTTGTTATTACTACTACTCTGGTCCACTGGGTCTGCTTACCTCTACTGTACATGCTCTTGTCACTGCCATGCACCTTTTATTGCTAGTACTGCTACTGCTGCCATTACCGCCAATATTGCGCGAGAGTAAGCACGGGTTGGCCGTGAGGATCGTTCCGTGTGTTGACTCATGAAAGGTTATCAATATCACTGCATGATAATTAATCACACAACTGAGTCGGTGCTAAGGCTGCTAACGCGAAAAGCTGCTACTACGCAGCCTGCTGCAAATTTTCACGAAAGCAGAGTTGGTGGCTTTGGCTTTGGCTTCGGCAGTTTTTGGAGCTTGGAGTCGTCTGCTGCAAGACGAATCGCCCGAGCTGAAAGGATAGAGACTCGACTCTCTTGTCAGCGGCTCTGATCTTAGCTAGATCCATGGAGTTCCAAGGAGAAAGCCTCGAGTCACACAAAATTCAGTGACAACTAAGCTTGATAACACTGGACCCTGGATCCTAAACCTGGGCCCAAACCCTAGAACCCCTGTACCCAGCACCCGAAAATTCTAAGGGGGGAGAGTGCTGTTCTTGTTGCGCACCCTGTTTGCATCTGCGCCCTGCCATCAGTCACTCACTCACTGACTCACGGCCGGCGGGCTTCCAAGCCGGCCGGGCAATCAACAACATCGGCTTGTGTACTGTATCCGTCATGAAAGCCCGGCAGGCAGAGCACACTGACTACTTCAATCCTAAACCCAGCCTGAACCCCAGACCCCCATAGCCTTGTTCTCGTAGTACTTGTAGCATTGTGGCGGTGGGTAGAGGACAGCGCCAGTCTCCTCGAAGCTGCCAAAGAACTCGGCGAAGGCATAGGGCATACGCTTCTCAAAGACCTGCCCACCACGGGGTATTTTAAAGGGTTTGTTCAGAAGATCCTGCCTGAGTAGCTAGCGAATTTCTATCAGTGTTGCGACGAAAAACCTGCGAAGGTTCTACGGTTCTGTAAGAGCTTGTGCAGGGGTTGCTAGCTTTTGCTTAGCTTTTCGTAGAGGTGTCCCAAGATTCGGACAACAGGGTCTCGACTTCGGGTGACTGCAGAGCCAAACCATTGTTCCAACCTCTCCAGGAGGAAGGTCCAAGTTGAACTCGTCGTGATGGCCTCGCTACGATCTTGTGGGTTCCAAGATGCAGAGAACCCAACAAACATGACTTCACACACTTGCAGAACAACTCGACCAAAAAAAGCCAGTTTCCTATAAAATTGCTGCCGCCACATCATGTGATACACTTTCATCCGCTGCAAGTGAAACCGGAACTTCCGCTGGCGTAGCTTACGGCCGCCACGTGGCTCGCCCGCCACAGGTACGCGACCCCTGGGAGGGTATCCTGTGGCCTGCAGATTCAGCTGTGAAGCTGCAGCAATGGGAAGGTGTCATAATTTCTGGGGAATGGAGGGAACTGCAATTGGCAGGGTCTTGCTCTGTGGGTGCGCAGTTTGGATTGGCATTGGTGCCTGACCTGGAAGTACAGCAGCCTATTCTGAGGATGTCACCAACGGAACCAAAGTGCAATTCGATTTCATGAGCCTGTCGGCAAGGTGCGGCTCCACACCGAGCGTGGGGAAGGTCTGGAAGAAAAGCTCGCGATGGATCTCCTTCCTTCTTCGCCTGTTGGGGCCGTGCAACAACTTTTGTAGTAGTGACTGTAGGTGTAGATATTTTTGGGGTGACGGGTAGTGGGGGTGACGCCCTCGCTTCGTTAGCCTTCACCCTTCTAACGACAGATGCATTTTGCTACTTCTATGTCTTCGCTACCTCTATCTCTGCTCGTGCACGACTGCTGCCACTACTATACTCCTCTTTACGATCGTGCCAAAGATATCGAACTCCCGCGCATTTCCACTGGACTGCTGCTGCATGCCTGCGATGACATCGCTGCTACCAGTATGAAGTTGGTCAGTGCAACGCGGATCAGCATGATGACGGCAAAGGCTCAAGATGAAAGTGATAGTGATGCGGATGATGAATGTTGACATGAACGGAGGCCAAAAGCCGCACCAAAGCTTAAACACGCTGAGGACCAGGGACAAGCTGTATATGCGGCTTTGTATCAGCTGACTTCCTGATGCGGACTCCGTGATCCCTCACCAAGGCCTCTTGGTCGGATCGTATTCTTTGGCTTTCCTTATTTTTTGAGAGGGTCGGACTGCTCTGAATTCGAAGTCCTCTTTATGTCGGTACGTGCACACACACACACACACACACACACGCACACACGCTTTCATACCTGTCTTGCCATCGCCATCTTGCTCTGAGCATGCCATCGCCCTAGGCGGCCAGACTCGAGTTCTTTTCCATGTCTGTATGGTGACGGAAGAGGACAAAATTCGATCCCATCGGCTGGGCGCGACATGAAGGTTACCCCAGTGCCATTGTGATAGACGGCGGGTGATACTGGCTATCCGAAGCCGACGGGCATTCCCGTACTCGTTCATGCCAGGGGCAATCAGCACTTGGTGTGCCCTCAGCCTGGCCCCTAAACCCTTTAAGCCCTTTAAACACTATAACCCTAAACGCTAAACCCGATAACCCTAAAACCCGATAACCTTACAACCCTAAACCCTACTCTCTTGAAACTCTTCTTTGATGCACCACCGCACGTGGCAAATGCGGATAGTTGGACGGACCCTTGAGTATGTATGTGTGTATTGTATGTATGTCTATGTATGTCCATGTATGTCCGTATGTCGCTATCTATGTCTGTACGTATGTATGTAAATAAATATGTGTTTACGTATATGCATATGTTTGCGCTTGTGTGTATGTATGTGTGTGCGTGTGCGTATGTAGAAGCATATGTATATGTGTACGTATCTGTACATACATCCTACAGACCTACGTACGTACATACATACGTACATATATATATATATACACATGAGCACGAATACAGATATTAATATACATGTACATGAATAAAAAAGCAAATAAGTAATACATATATATATATATATGTATATATATATATATATACATATATATATGTATGCGTTACATATACATATATACACATGATACAGATATCTACATCTATCTATATATATATATACATATGTCACGTACACACCCACTACAGAGCATGCATCGCAGAACCATCAAACAGGCTTTGGCCGACGCTGCTGCATGTCTGCCCATGCGGAAACAGCGTCTCTCATGCTATTTCAGGGTCTCTTCACTCTCTTCAGTGGACTCGTCTGTTCGACTGCAAAATAATGAAAGATGCTTGACTGACAAGTTCGGTATCTGGCTGAGCTTCTTGTTGGGCTTGTGCACGAACTCCACGAAGCCCATCCGTGGGGAGAGTGGGAAAACCACGGCCCGCAACTGCGAGATCTCTTTCCTGAGGCCGCTCTGCAAGCTCTCCAATCACCTTCTCTTATGCAGCCTGTCAGCTTCTTACGACACTCTCCCAAGATGTCTGGGCCCACGGACTGGCTCGAGGCCCAAATTTAGCACGAGTCTCGCTCCCTGCAAGGAACATGGTCAGAACCCTTCGAAGCTCAGGCACAGATCTACGTTGTCGGGAGTGGAGAAGCGCAGCTTGCTGGTGCCAAAAGGTCCCTGCAGAGGGCTCACATGCACATCGCACACGATACTCTATCCCTAAGCAATTCCAGGAAAACGCCTGCCCCAACGGTTTCGGGGTCGAGGGTTTTGGGGGTTGAGGGCTCCTCCCGGCTGTTTAGTTGCCTCTGAGAGTGGCTCGCGCCAGTGGACGAAGGCACCGTCGCCCACAGTTTGGATCTGTTCCTTGGGGGGCACTCGCTCATTTTGTCAGCATCAAACCGGATCTCCAAAAGCTGGCACCGCAGACTGAGCTCTAGAATCAGCAAGCAAACGCAGTAACTTCATGCGGATTTCAACCTAGTAAATGCTCTTTCGAGCAGATCCCAAACCCGACACCCTGAAGGATCTTAAAACGTTCAGCCCCTGGCCAGGTCTGTGTGAGCGGGCCCAAGCACCACCACGTGACCTCGATGAACCGCCAACCTGGGTTCCGAGGACGGAACATGTTCCCCGGGTTCCTCACAAAAAGCACGACAAGGAGCGAATCAGTGTAAGACCAATCGCAAACAAGACTACGACTACAGAGGTGGGCCGTGTATTCTAGATGTAGATGAACATGACAAAGCCATGGTGATACAAACATGGTGATGTGCGTTACTCTCTCCAGGGCTCAGTACCTTGGCCTTTGAGTGTTGAGCCAGAGAACAGTATAGTAGTATAAAATTAATAATAATAATAATAATAATAATAGGTTTAAGAGTTTAGGCCAGGGCCACAGCACTCGAGAAATCCCCCCTAAGCTGATGGGGCGTATCTTTATGCACTTGAACTGCCATGGGCAACCGGCCTGCTGCAAACTCCTGGACTAAACTTGACGCCAGGTGATGTGTGAAAGCCACTCTAAGCCGCAGACAACTGGAGAGTGGAACGCCTGACAGAGAAAGTGTGTATTCATACCTGAGCGTTCTATACGTCCTACAACATGCAGGGCTTTTCCAACTTCCATTCGCAGCACCAGCAACAAGCCTGGCCGATAGTAGTACCAATCATAACAGTAGTAATAATCATAGTGATACTGCTAGTAATAGTAACAGAAACAGTAATAGTAATAATACAGCTAAAAACAGTAATATAAATAACAAGACTAATTAATAGTACTGGTATTTGTATTATTACTGCTATTCACTGCTATTGATATTCTTATTAGTAGTATCTTTATATTTTGGGGGACCGCCTCTCAAATCCAGGCTGGCCAGGTTCGTCGGCCGCGATGTAATCCGGAAAAGGCCTTCTTGCCAGGTCTATGACTCGAAATCTCAGAAGCCCGTGTGTGTGTCTGTGTGTGTGAGAGAGAGACCGCTTTCCTGATGCAGAATCATAAGCCATCAAGCAAAGTGTATCTGCAAGCGACCTTGCGTCACTTGCGCTCAGATGGAGGTGCTGGGTGGGCCGTTCCCGGCTCCGAGCCCGCCGCATCTCGTAGGCGTAGCCTGCTGTCCGCTTCACCTGGAGCTGGATGATATGAGGCTACAAGTTACAAGCTTTTGAAGATGATATGCCACCCAACTTCACGTTTGGTTCCGCTGACAAACGGGGTGCGGGAAGTAGTGCTACTCCTTCAAAGGACCATTCCTGATACAAGACTAAAAAATAAAGAGATCCAAAGAGACAGACCGTCTGACTGACAGGGTTCTCCCAATACCGTGAAGGTGTGCCATGTTGAAGTCCCCTCCCGCCTCTTGCAGCCGTAGGTCAAAGACCAAGGCATCCCCTGCCCGGTGGCAGGCTTTGGCCACCGTCGAAGAGCCGGCCTTGATGATCTTCATGTCCTGATCTGTCCATGCCGCGGACAAGAGTTCATCATGGACATGTGGGTCTTCAGAGTTGTCGAACTGCATCGAGTCAGGAACTGGAACTTGTCCATGACGTTCTCCACGGCAGAGACGCAATCGTCTGAGGGCTCCACTTCTTTCACGACCTCGCCCCACTTTTCTTTGCGGCCTCGAGTGTGAAAACTTGACGATGTTTCAGACTGGTCGACTTGGCCCATGCAGCTACACATGCCGGGATCGGAGCGAGGCTTCTGTGGGCAAGTGCCTCCCTTCAGCTCTGTGCCTCCGTCTTTGACTTTGTTGCCTTTCCGTGCCAAGAGTGAAAAATCTGAGCATTTGTGGTAGACAGGTCTGTTGCTGTGCCGGCAGTCATGAGTGCCTTTGCCGTACCGAGGCAGCTTCGGACTCGAGGCAGGCAGATGTGTATCTTGGACGCTGCGAGTGTCCACAGCCTGTGCCTGCGCGGGCGGCACGGCCGTCAGGAGAGCAGGCTCGCCGGCACAATGAACAACTAGAGGACGTACGGATGAGCAGCTTGCTTCAGCCAGTGTATCTGGGCCGGGCACCTCGCGCAGCTGATTGGGTGCAGCAGCTGGCTCCGAGGCCTCGCAGCTTGAAGCGAGGACGTCCGGTCTCTCGCTCAGCTTAGGCCCGTCTTGTCTCGATCTCTGGCCTCTTGGATCTTCTCCTCGGACTCGGAGCTCTGAGACGGCGTGCCGCTGAACCTTGACTCGAGAGAGAGTTGCCACTGCGAAGCTTCCGTGCTACTGGTATCGGTTTGACTCGATGCAGCTGCAGCGTCGGGAATTTTTGGGTTCTGCGATGTCTAGTGACCGTCATGACGCGCTTTGTCAATCCTACCGACAGCCTAGGCCTCTAAGTGTCTACTGGCCTCGAGTCGACTGAGTCGACAAGCCTTCCGCGCAGAACCATCCCTTGAAGCCCAGCAGCAGTCTCCAGTGCATTGAAATCCAGACCATCATCCTGAGCCACAAATTGGAGCAGAGCACAAAAGGGGGAGCTGGGCTCTCCAATCATTTTTGACAGGAAAATAAGTCGAAGCTTGACATCGAGCTGGTAGAGTTTGCGCTTTTCACTGACTTCTCTGCACTTTGAAAATCCGGATGTGCACACTTGCCGAAACCTCTTAGGGGACTACAATGGCGAATGCAACGATCCGGCGATACTCCAGCAATGACCATGCCATGCAAGGGGCCAGAAGCTGCCAGCCGCCAGCAGCCCGGTCGCCCATCGCAGTGAACAACAGCTCAGGACTGGCAAGGGGATGGATCGGATAGGGGCTTCGGGATTTGGGTCCAACAAAATACCTACGCCTTGTGGCTTCCATCTCAATGCTTCGTCAGAAGTGCTCTCACTCCGGTAACACGTACCCGGAAGCGCCATTCCGATTGTTGAGGCCCCTGGATTGCTCATTGCCTTCACTTCTCAAGATCAACGACATTCGAACGGACAGGACACATGGTGCACTTGGAGCCTCCTCTGCTGAGTTTCCGCTTGGCAGCCATGAGGGGCTGCCATGAGGCCCATGGACGCGGTCGCTGCAGTTCCAATGTGGCTACCGAGACTCCAAGGATTGGTTACTCGTCAATGGTTAGCGATGTGCGGGCTGCCATAGTTCAAGTGCTTGTCTGTGGTACTAGTAGGTAGTGCGATTTGCGGCATTGCTCTCACCAAACCTTCATGCGATGAACGATGCAATGAACAGCGTCAGCCGCTTGTGGGTGGATGCAGTGATGTTCTCCACATTGCAGCCCTCAGAGTGTCAAGCTCTCGGAAGCGTGCAGCGTGGGTTCAGTCGTGACAAACTGCATAGGTATCAGGGCCCCTAAAAGCTGTGCACATCATGTCACACGCGATCGCGAGCCTGTTTCTGCTAGCCAGACCTCAGCTCTCGAACATGGGCCTGGCCCACACAAGAGACATGTGGCCTTCATTTTAAGCCTGCTGGTGCCAGTACACCTGGCGACAGTTTTAGAACTGTTTTAGACCATGCCGAGTAGGCTGATATGAATAGTAGTCGAGATCGCGCAAGTGAGCCATATCAAATAGTAGGGATGATCAGTAGAGAACGATTGCCTGTCCGGCGAAATGTTCGCAGTGGACTGGATCTTGCAAGCAGCCTCGATAAGATGTGGCCGGCAGAAAGAGTTACAGGCATTTGTGAACTGAAGGCCCCATGTGAAACTATCGCATCTCTGACCTCAACAGCAGCCGGCTTCTTGCCAGCGCCGGAGACCTGTGGCGATGACGGCAGGCAAATTTCTGAGGAATGCTACATATAGCAGTATTAGCTGCGCCCTAGTACACGCTATGGTGCAAAAGCTCCTGCAAAACATCCCCATTCTGAACCAGAGCTGGAATCTTCTCTGATCGGACGGCCTGCCCGCGCTCAAACCGAGACTCCGTGCATGGCACTCAATGCTGTTGAGTGAATGCTGGCAATTTTAAGGTGACCTTAAGTGTAAAGCCTGATTGCCATTTCATGTAAGCCTTCAAGAGCTTCGACATCAATGCTGAGAAGCTTTGACAATCACTAGAAATCTTTCAAGCGTGCAAGCCTTTTACGACAGGTTCTGGAACTACCACAAAGGAGTCGCTTCTGCATGGTGTAGGCCTCAATGGTGAACAACTTCGGCAATCTGTGGCGCGAGCACCTCACTTGGTAGCAGATGTTGGCCCGAACCCTGTTTCGCCTTGTTTTGCCAGAGAGACGTTTACCTGCTGAAGATCTCTTCGGAGGCGATCGGTATTATCAGGGATGTAAGGAAAACTGCAGCGATTACCCAATACTCCATGTAGCATATCATAATTCGGTGAACCAGTGAACCACCTTTTAAGCGATTGCTTTGTGCCCTGGTTCACATGCAAGATGAAATCAGAGAGCTGTGAGGACGGTGGAAGGCGCAATTAGTACGGGTAATTAACAGGTGCTGAGTCTCCTATGCAACGGCCACATATGTCCGAAAGTCCTGATCCTGCTGTTCCCGACCGTGCCTGTCGTCATGCTGAAAATCCGAGATAGCTGGGGCAACCACGATTATGGGAAGGAGTGCGCCCCCTCGTGAACCTCGGCATGTTTGTTCTTTCAAGATGTTGTGGACGGAAGCTCTGGCTCCTGACTTCTCCGGGTGGGCCTCTGGGTCTCAAACATACCGTGGCCTTGGGGAGCAGGGCGCCTAAGCATCCCGACGTACCAGGTGCTGCGTCGTCTTTGGCTCGAGGGTGCGTCCTGACTTCTGAATAGCCACCCGTGTCCCTTTGCCCACCGAGCCTGATAACAGACACAGGGTGAACTACCAGCTGAGCCGATTTCAATTCCTGAGCAGCACGACGAGGGCTTTTGTATAAAGACCTACATCGAAAACCCCACACTCCTTCAGACCAGCACCATGTCTCTTTGGAAATTCTATACATGTAGGTGCTATGTGCGACATGCCCCCGGTCCCTTCATGGCGCTGCTGATCACCTGCTCCTTGCAAATGTCAGGACCTCTCTGCTAACAGACGGAAGATCAGGTTGTATAGGGCTTCAACTGTTATGTTTTGTTAATAGGGCTCTTCTGAGGATGATATAAGGGTCTTAGGGTCTAGGGCTGAACGAGGCTAAGTTTAGACCACTGACTAGTAAGGATGACTTGTGCAAGCGGTCTAGAACAGCCCGTTCGTCTTCACGAAGGGATGGGGTTACTCATCAGGTATCTATATTACCATCTTTCAGCTTACCCTTGAACTCGTCATGTTACGATTGTTCTTGGCACGTCTGCCGGTAAAGTACTAAGCAGTCTGTCTGTCTATCTATCTATCTATCTATCTATCTATCTATATATGCACATTAACAAACACACATATATGTATATATGGTCAGGCGCTCTGCGGCGACCAGACCATTGGGCGGGGGCCGGGAACGCCAGACGCCTGACCATATATACACACACACACACATGCAAACGAGTACCCATGTCTACACAGGCAAACATGTCAGCTAGATAGAGAGTCACGGTAGGACTCTGCATCCTCCTACGCTCAAAAGATCTAGGGACAATCGGCAGGACTGGTGGTTAGAGTGAGCAATCGGCAGGACTGGTGGTTAGAGTGAGCAAGTGAAGCAGCATGACGACAGGGCACGGGTTTCGAAGCTTCCAAAGGTGGATTTCTGCGAAGGCGTCTTAACTAAAGCGGCACCAATGCATCATCTCTGGGTTCCCGACGCAGGCCAGGAGGATTTACCAAGATATCTGGATGCTCGTAATTGACGGACACAGCTGGCCTTAACGCCGCAACCCCCCCCCCATTTTTTCATCTCTGAGCTCCGGATTGTCTTGCGCTGTCGCAGCTCATGCAAGCTAGGCCAAGCTGGGCACCCAACACGATCGTCATGCCCGCGGCTTTGAACAGCTCCAGGCGGTGGTGCCCGTCGATCACAACCTCAGCTAGATGTTTAGTGGCGTGGGTGCCTTTCAAGCATAGATGCTGGTCTCTTCTGAGGGGCTGGCATCGTACTGCGAATCTACAATGATGGCAGGAAGAATCTTCACCTCGAGTGCGTCTTGCATTTTTCGGGGTCGCGACCGGCGAACTGAACTGCAAAAGTAACTAGGTTTGTGCAAGGACAGACAAATCGGAATGCAGCCCTCGTGAACTCTCTGCAGCCACGCAAGGACAGACTAGGAGCGTCGCTCTTTCAGAATCTGTCGTCACTCCTTACTGTGCCAGAAACAAGGCATACACCCACTGAGGCAGCAGCAGGCAGGTCTCGGACGTATTCCTGCAGCTTTGTGGCTCGATCCTTCAGGACCTCGCAGGATTCGTTGCGCGAGAAGTCACCAGGGAGAACGTGGCCAACACTTGCGTCTGCGAGCCTCTAGACTTTGAAGCAACCAGAGAAGAAGTATAGACTTTCATTTCATAGTGGTTCCCTTAAGGAACAGGTCCAACAACAAGTATTAAAGTATAGTATGGTACTCCAAACCCAGGGCTTTCTGTTCCCGAAAAGTTTGCAGATCTAGCATGTCGTTTGGGGTCAATACAGCGTGGTAGAAGTTGCCTGCAAAAGACAAGCTAGAAGCCCGGGGACATCCCCGCCTCCTCGTGAGGTTTTAAGTCATCGATGTGTACGAGCCGGACGCCCTCTATCACCTCGAAGCACAAAGAAGTGTTGAACAAGCTACGCCGCTTCCGCATCCAGGCTTTTCGCACGCGGTGGTGAACAAGAACCGTGTGAAGAAGGCATGGACGGCTCATATGTTGATAGGGCAGAAGATGACAGCACCCAGTTCTGGGCCAAATCGTGAACCTGCAGCCTTCCACATGTTTGAGTTGATGCCATAACCGACCCTACTCCTTGTAAACACACTCTGACTGCACTTAGCCGTGTAAAAAGCATCCCTCCGTCAACACCGGACGTCCCAAGGTGTGCGTCGTCCAGGGCTGGGGCTGCTGGATTCACGTCCGCAGATGTGCCGAAAGTCGATTGGATCTGGGCAGTTCAAGGCCGCGGATCTGGTTTCGGGAATCCGAGGCCCTCCAGTCCACTGCAAGAAACCGCTGCACCCACTCTGCGGGCACACATGTACTTTAAATGCCGGAAGAAGCAAATGCCTAGTCAACAGAAACAAAAGTTGAGAACCTGGCAGTCGCAGCAGTGCTGTGCTACTTTGCTCAACCTGAGGCTGCTAACTGAGGGTCTCGCGAAGCTCTCGCTGACACACGCCCGGCGCAGAAGTGCCTGCGGGGATAAGTGCGCAGTTTAGCCCAGCCCACTGACGTTCCGATGCCAATTTGAGCGGCTGGACATTGCAGAACCGGAATTTAAGCAACACTGCTTCCCTCCGCGGTGAGAAACTCATGTCCCAAGCAACATCAGGAATAGCATTGCCCCTCGTGTAGCCGGTTCTTTACACCTAAACTTCTTTTTCGGGCCTGGTAGAGCACGGAGAAATCGTAGGGCCTGCGGACCGCCAGCCGCACGACGGTTGGCCTGTCGTATCCTGCGAGCAGTCGGTTGGACTCCTAAGGGTCGTAGAACTCGTATTGACAAGGCATCCTCGCCCGGAAGCAAGCAGATGCTGAGTACTCGGACAGCTGGAGCGTGTTGCGGGCCGGCGGCTTCTGCTTCCCACTTCTCGGGACGTTGTCCCAAACACAAGGAACACCATCAAAACTGCCCCAGCTTCGCAGATCCCATCGGTCCAGACGCCGCATGGCGGATAGGACAGCCACACTTCAGCGCGGATTTGTAAACCTGACGCGTGACTGGAAGGGCATGTGGCGATCATACAATTCTAACATCTTTTGATAAGCGGACATGATCGAGGCCGAGACATCCTGGGCCACCTCCGGGCTGCCCGTGTCGATCCAAATCTCAGCTTGGGTTGACGTGGTTAGTCGTGACAAGCGTTTCAGAGGCAGTACCGAAAGTTAGGATCGGTGCGATGTGTTACATGTAACCTGGACACGAAAAAACCAGATTTCGAAGTTCAGAAAGAAGATGCTTGAGCTATTCCACTCATAGCAACGCCTGCGTCAAGCCTGACTGTCAACGTTTGGCCCAATCACTGGCCGAGGCTGGTGCCCATGAAAGCCACGGCTTACCGAGGAACTTCCACTCCGGATGCCTAGGGGTTCGGAATGCTTTTTGGCTACTGACTAAGTTCACTCGTACCAACTTTTGATGATTTGTGTAGCCATTGCAAATGCTATTGCTTCGGCTGCTGCTGCTGGCACTACTACCGCCACTTCAAGAACAACAACAACAACAACAACATCTGCTGCTGCTAATACTGTTACTGTTACTGTTACTGCTGCGCTGCTACTACTGTCACTACAACCACGACACTTTCCCCTGGTGCGATGGAAATCGCTGAACAAAGCACAAGGTGGATGCAATGTGTCTGATGGGCACCGGGCGCCATCAAGTTTTAGACCATCGATGCTATGAAATGAAAATGATTGGATCATGGACTTCATCAGTCTCGAGCAAGGATGTTCTGGGGTCAAGAGGTTGGACCATGTTGAGAAAAGAACAAAGTAGGCCATGGACATCATCAGGTTCCGGCTTTTGATGCTCTGAAGTCCAAACGAACTTAACCTTGGACGTCATCATTCTTGGGCCATGGATGCTTTGAAATAAAACGGATTAATCCCTGGACGTCAACAGGTTTGGGTCATGGTTGCTATGAAATCGAAACGGACTGGACCATGGACGACACTATGTTTCGGGCATGGATGCGAAGAAAATCAGACCAGACTCCGGACTTTCTTAAACATGGACACCACCAAATTTGGGCCATGGATGCTGTGAAATCAAAACGGAGTAGGTCAGGTTTGGGCTTTGGGTGTTTTAAAATTAAAGCGGGCTAGGCCACGGCCTTGGATGAGGTTGGAAATTGTAACTTGTGGCTGCGCTTTGTTGCTCACAGGTCCTGATCCTTTTCGAGCGGTTTGCTCCATTTCCCCAAAACTCTAGTCAGTTTCGTGCGTTTTCGTCCGGTTCACTCCTGTTTCATGCAAGCTCCAAGCCCTTTCGAGGGGGTTGCGGTTGCTCCTGTTCTTCAGACGTTCGGGTCGATTTCGAAGGGTTGGATGCTTTTGCTGAAAGGCTCTGATCCATTTCAAGCGGTTGTATCATGTTTCTCTTCATCCCTTTCGGAGCGGTTTGCTGCTTTGCTCAAACGCTGCGATTTTGTTTTGGTGGCTTGCTGCTTTTCTGAATGCTGTAGTACTTTTCGAACGGCTGGCTCCTGCTTCTCAGACGCTTCAGTCCCTTTGGAGCGGTTAGGCTTCCAAGGCTTCGTGCGCTGACTCATCCTCCGAAGAAACCTGGCAAAACAACAGCCCTTCCGAAGCAGCATTTCCTGGGTCGCGAGGACTGCTCTTGCCCGTCGGCACTTCAACTTGTGCTTCAGATTTCTTAATCGCCCGGTAAAATGGATCTCAGAAGATGGAAAGAATTGATTTTTGTTTGCGGGGCTCCTTGAGCGATGCCCTCTTTGAACCAAGGGGCATGTACCACTCGGCGCCACGGCCTGTCCGTAGCACTCCATACCCACACCACGACGGGCAGGCCCACGCGAGCCGCGGGGGGCATCATCTGGCAGTCATCCGTCTCGCGATTTACAATCATCAGCATATGTAAAATTGTTCTGCTTCGTAGAACAGTAGCCTTGTTATACTCATCAACAAAGCTTCCGAACACTCCTAGACTGTGCTGGACCAGGTTTGCCTCCTCTGATTTGCATTCTTGATAAAACCTAAGCCTGCGCTGAACAACGCATGGCAAAGCTTGTTCCTCAGTGCAACCAAGCCACAACAGCGATCTTGAAACGTTTGTTTCTCTTCGAGTGCTTTTTGTGTTTCATTCCTTCTTTATGTTTTTGCCTCTTTGTTCATTCATTCTTTCTCTTTGACTTGATTTGGGTCAACCGACACACCAGGGACTTAGGGGCCGGCAGGCCCCTCACCTTACTGCCTGACGGAATACCGTGTGGCACCCCCCCCCTCCCTTCAAGGGGTCAGTGAGTACAGACTGCAGAGCCGCCATCAGTCGGCAACATAATTAGCCGCAGCCTACATCCGCACAACTGAAGACAGCAAGCAGCATTGCATAAGACTGTTTCACGTTCACCGGCGTCGCGCATGAAGAGATAAATAAAGAAAGACATACAGAAAGGACGAGATAAGGAAAGAAAGAAATAACCAGAGAAACCATAAAGGAAGAAGAAAGAAAAGAGGAGCGAGATAAAGACAAACAAAAGAAATTATAGAAAGAGAAAAATAAGGGATCATAGAACAACGGAATCAAAAGGAGCTCGCTTTCGTGCCTTTTAGGGCGGCTCTCTCCATCTTCGCAACTGCTCCGACGTTTGCTCCTGCTCTCAAACGCTTTAAAGCAGTTCACATCCCTTTTCTTAAGCCATGGACGTCACCAGGTTTCAAAACGGGCTGGATCATGGACGTCGTCGGGTTTGGACCATCGGTGCTCTGAAACCAAAGGGACTGGACTCATGTCACCAGGTCTGGAGCTCTCGGTCTGGAGCTCTCCACTTTCGGAAAGCTGCCCGGAAATATGAACGTCAAAAAAGGTACAACAGAAAAACAGAAATCCGTCTTGGGCCATGTTTAGAAATTACCAAAAACACGCACATGCAGAACATCTAAAGCGCGAGTGGTGTCGATGCCAGTACTGTCGCGTATACAACAACGCGCGATGTCGGTTGGGGAAATATGAGTGCCGCAAGCGCAGGACAACACTGCATTTGGACGAAAAGAAAGTCTTCAACCAGCACGACGCCCCGTCACACCGTGGAGGCAGAACCTTCTTACTGCTGCTGCTACTACTACTACTACTACTACTACTACTACCACCGCTACTACCACCACTGCTGCCACTACTACCACGACTACTACCATCACGCCAACTACTGCTGCTTCTGTGGGCTATTGCTGTCCCCAATACTACTTTGATTGCTGTTAGAACAACCACTGTCGTGCTCAAGAACTATTCCATCGAGACTGCTGATACCGTTGCCTAGCAGTAATTCTGGGAAGATCTGGGAAGTATCACTGTCGGTTATCCTTGCAATGCCATTGCTGTTGCGGATGCGACACCTGCTTGTCTCTGAGGATGTCGAGCTGTTTGTTTTTGGCAAGTATATGGCATACCCGCGCTTCAAGCAAGTGGAACCCCCCCAGTGCCGACATGGAATCGTTCCTGAACTGCAGCACAGTGCCCCTGAGCTTTCACTCTGCTTCGTCGCAAGCCTGAAGCACCCTGATCCGACACCAAAACATTTAATCCTCAATCCTCAGGATGTGGCAGTCTTTCCAGGCGGGTGATCATGTGGCTGCGCCTTTAGCAGGATCTAAAGGTCAACTCAGCACCTCCGGGCTTTTCTGTGGTCCACACCATACACCGCAGCCTGTCAGTGCTCCTAAACTGCCCACATTCGTGGAAGCTGCGCTATATCTGCTTGGCACCTGAATCGGAGCAACGGCTAGCAGCAGTTTCCTGCATCCCGATAGAAGAAGAGGCTTGCATGTGCACTCTGCGATACCTCCCAGGGCCCCAAGCCACGGCTTCAAAAGCTCCGAGCCATCCGACGTGCAAGCATTGATTTGGCCTCTCCTTCTTCAGTGCTCGTTTTTACAGCTCCATCGAAGGAGTTAAGGCTTTGCGACTCCCACACCAATGCCTCTGCACTGAACATTGCAACTCCTGGCGGTAGCTACCACCGCTGGCGAAGAAGATGGAGATGCCGACAGCTGATCGTAATATTGACAAGCGCACGAAGTTTCCAGGAACCCCGCCAGGCAGGTGTCGCACTCCAAGTGCGCTCCAGGTAGGTGCGGTCCTCCCAGTCCAGAAGTTGGCTTAGGACTGAGATCACAGGTTGCAGTAGTTTACGATTGAGGGTTGCAAGCAGAATGCTGGCTATGGTCTTTGGATGCGCTACCTATCACAATAGCTTGAGCAGCGCAGACTGCATCCGGAGGTTGACGTGCCCAACACTGCTTTCCCAAGCACGCCTATTCAATCTGGTGGCCTCTGTTCACGGCTGGTTTCCTTCCCTTGTCTCTTCATGTGCTTGTGAGCTGTGAACCTTTATCCATGAAACCAACCTAACCCCAAAGCCCCGGAAACCTCCCAAAACCGCACTTCGGATTCCCCTGAAGCCTACACGGCCCTACACTTTGTCCAAACCCTCTCCGACCTCTATGACAACCGGTCCAAAACTCCAAACCTACGAACACACTTACGAGGTGCGCTCTGTGGGTCCTTCAAGGCGGCTTTAAGGTAGGCTCGAGCGAAGGCGGTCACCGACCATGGCACCTCCAGGGAGCTTGAGGGTCTCAGGCTCAAGGTTTAGAATTCGGGGTTTACGGTTTGGTGCCTGGGTTCCTTTTTTTGCGAGAGCCTCGCCTTTCGTGTCTCGGCCCAGGCTCCGAACCCTAAACTCAACGCTCCAGCCTAAACCCTCCGAGCCTAAATCCTAAACCGCTCCAGTCTCTCTGAAAGCCTGCATCCCCTGGAGCAGGTCTCTCTTCTCCGCGGTGGGGCACAGCACCGTGCCTGGCCAGCACTCCTACACACATACGCAATTATACACATGCATATATATATATATATGTGTATATATATATATGTATATATATATATGTATATATATATATATACACACAAGTGTACGTGTATACACACATATACATGTGTACATTGTACATATATACATACTTAACATTACTTGATAATATTTACATATTCACGCAAAGGCATATATGTGGTCAGGCGTCTGGAGTTCAGGGCCCCTGCCCCTCCCAATGGTATAGTCTGGTAGTCGGGGCCGTTGGAGCTGCAGCTGAAGGTGCTGCTGGGGGGCGGCCAGGGCTCGCAAAGAGAGCCGGGATCTTGCGCAAGCCCTACGTAAGCCATAAACCCTATAACGTAAGCGCGTGCCTCTGTTGTTATTGACCCTAGCTTGCCATTTGTCGTAGGGGGTTTCCTGCAGCAAAGGGAACGAAGCTTGCGTTCTCAGTTTACGACGGCAGGCAGCGGGATGAGGGAATCTGTCGGGCGCAGAAGGTAACCTGTACTTTAAACCGTACATCCAACACTAAACTCCGCCTAAATACAGGCTCTAAGCCTAAAGCAGAACATAAACCGTCAACCCTAACGAACCTACATCCCAAACCCTCCCGAAGCTCTTGTCGACTCGAAGCTTTATACCTGTTAACCCTAAACCCTAGACCCAAAACTCAACAGCGTAAGCTAAACCCCAAACCCCAAAACCCCACAACCCCCCATACCTCACCCCACAGGGGGGCGGGGAGGCATCCTGGACCATGAAAGGGGGGGGAGGGGGGAGTGGAGGGGGGCCGGGGAGCGCGTGACCATATATCTATATCTATATCTATATCTATATATCTATCTATATATATATATATATCTATATATATATATATGAATATATCTGTATACAATATGCATGCATATTATATACAGATATACACAGAAACATATGCATACACATATGTAGAGATATGTCTAGAGTGAGCCCCTATATAAACAACTGTATACACCTTTACACATACATACATACATACATACATACATACATACATACATACATACATACTTGAATGCATGCGTACATACATACATACATACATACATACATACATACATACATACATAAATACATACATACATACATACATACATACATACATACATACATACACACGCATTTATGCATGCATACATAATTGAAAGCGTGTTGCTGCTGCTCGAACTCTAGCTATTATCGCTGTTGTTGCTGCTGTTTCTACCAGCATTATTTTTTCGTTGACCTTTCTGCGAAGCACACGCCACATGGATCTGGAATTCAGCACATCTGCAGCCAATCATCCCGCCACCGCGCCTATCCTCAACCTTGGTGGTGAGGACCAAAGCAGGCATCCAGAGCTACAGAAGCAGCTACGGCAGAAAATGCAAACAAACATGCACGATGTTTCAGTGCAGCTCTCCGGAACTCCTACCAGAGTCAAACCCCTGAGCCTGCGACCCAGTGCACGAGAATATCTTTGTCCACGATTGCACCTCTTGAGAACAGAACAGAAAACTCGGGGAATCCAACGGATGACCCCAAATTTGCAAAAGAATCAAAAAGCCTCCCCAAGAAGGGAGCCCTCATTTTAAGAAGCCCACAAGTCCCACAAGGGGTTGAGGAGTCAACGGGGCGACTATGTCCCGGAAGCAGCAACCACAATGATACTGACGATGATGATGATGATGATGCTGACGAAGACCTGACCACTACCGGCACTGCCAATACTACTTACCACCGGCCACTACTACTACTACTACTACTACTACCACCACCACGACGACGACTACTACTACCACCACCACTACCACTACCACGACGACTACCACTACTGCTACTACTTCTACCACCGCCACCACCACCACTAGCACCGCTACCACCACTGCAACCGACACGACACTACTGGCACCACTACTACCACTACACCCCACCACCACCAGCAGCAGCAGCACCAGCAGCAGCACCAGCACCAGCAGCAGCAGCAGCAGCAGCAGCAGCAGCAGCAGCGGCACCGGCACCAGCACCAGCACCAGCACCAGCACCACCTACACCTCCACCTCCACCTCCACCTCCACCTCCACCTCCACCAGCGAACCAGCACCAGCGCCCCAGCAGCAGCGTACCAGCACCACCACCACCTGCACCTCCACCTCCACCTCCACCTCCACCAGCGAACCAGCACCAGCGCACCAGCAGCAGCGTACCAGCACCAGCACCACTACTTCTAGCATTACAAGTACTACTACTACTACTACTACTACTACTACTACTACTACTACGGTGTCCCCCCCTGGTGCGGCACCCGGTCGCTCACTTCGTAGATGTTCCACATCTTGAATGAGAGCTGTCGCGGTCCAAGATGCGGCG